CTTTGTAAGGTAGCTCTTCATTGGACTTGCACGACTTGAATTGCAATAAATAACTGGAAAAATGAGGGTGTTCTAAAACTTTTGACCTGTAGTTTATATTGTATGTTATTTATATGACCTTTTAGTGTAGTTCAACAGAGCATTTAGAGGTTTGGAAACGTAGACAGACTAATAATAAAGGTTTACTCTAAAATGTGTGTATGAAATGAAACAGAACTCTACATTATAACATGACTTAAACCTCACAACAGTCAATTCTGCACTGTAAAAAATGGCCGTGAAATTTACACAGTAACTCTGTAAAATGCCTACAGAAATGCATAGTAAAATGAAAGACATATGATTTTTGTATGAATTACAGGAAACCATTGTGAATTAAAAAAACAGAGGTTAATGTTGTATTTACAAAAATAATGTGTGATTATAATCACATTTATTTGTTAAAATTACCATTTGCTGTAATAAAAACATAGAAATGCTGTAATACTTATAACAAAACATTTTTGTTAATTAGACATTCAAATAGTGTAAAAAATTTTACTTTTGGCAGTTTTTTTTGAAAATCCAAAACATATGTGTAACTCCCTTTACAACTTTATGCTGTACTTTTATACAAAATATTAATGTTATATTGACAATAATAATATGTGATAATAATCAAATGTATTTGTAAAAAGGACCAATTACAGTAACAAAAACACAGAAACACTGTAATACTCACAACTACATATTTTTGTTAATAAGATATTCAAATATTGTAAAAACTATGATTTTTGACATTTTCTATTTGAAAATACAGGAAAAAAAAAAAAAAAAAAAATCAGTAATTTACTTTACAACCTTATGCTGTACTTGTAGCATGATTAACAGAACAATGCCAATTGAGTTAATAAAAATGTTTTCACAAGATTTTGTTCTGTATAATATGGCACTGCGGATCTGTGAGATTGCCTGTATTGTATGTAGTTGTATGTAGTTTTATATACAAATTAATTTATAATAACATAGTTTTTATAATTTATTTGCAACCTACTCTGGAGGCTATATAAAGATTAAAATAGTTTATAGAGAAATTGAAATTGTGGATATTGATCATATTTTGAGCAGGTTAAACATCCCTCTAAAAAGGTGTTTTTTTTTTTTTTTTTTTTTTTTTTTGTTGTTATATTGTAATATATTTTGGTATATTGATAAATGGTACTAATAATTTGAGCATTGTGTTATCATAGGCTAAACTTAACCTGCCTCCCCTATAACCACAGACTTGTACCTGAACTGTCTGTCCGCCTAATTTGAAATTTCAAAGTGCGCAGCTGAGGTTCGTCTCTGATTGGATAATGACGAGATCGTGGCACCTGATGGTCGTTTCTGATTGGATAATAGCGAGGGGGCGGGAAAAGCGGGAAAAGCACGCGCTCCACGTTCACGGCTGAGGCTCACGTCACTAACGAGCGAGAGCGAGAGCGCGCTGCGCCGTCTGAACCTCGCACAACTCCGGAGCAGAGCAGAGACGTCTTTGGATACTTTTTCGAGTTAGGACCATTCTACGGTATTATACTCATTTCGGATCTGTGGATGTCGATTCAAAACATTTAAAGTTTGCACGGTAAGCTTCACATTTACTTTTTACTGATGATAAAACGGAAAATTAGTAGCACATGGTGTAAGCTAGCGCCAGTCCATATTTGCGATCAGTAAGTCAGTGCGTGATTAGCACATTTTAAAATCAATGTGATAGGCTTGCGATTTTAAAGATGATCACCTGCATTTTCTGTAAAAAACAATTGGAAACATTAAGAGGCTATGTATTACATTGCAGAGTGCATAGGAAGGAGCCTCATTGTCTTTTCAAATGTGTTGGCGCCAATTGTAGTCAGACGTTTACCACTTACTCGGCTTTTAAGGGGCATTTTTATCGTGTGCACTCTGCACCTGCTCCATGTGCTGCTCCCAAGACCGTTGTTTCAGATTTGAAATGTGCAGTTTCGTTGTGTTCACACTATTTTCATAGAGTGAAGGAGCTTGTGGCTCATTTAAATGACCATATAGAAGAGGGCAGGTCTGTGCCCAGTCACTGGTTGTAAGCACGTGTTTACCAAAAAGTCATCATTTACTTCTCACATGTGTAGGAAGCATAAAGCATGCTCTCCTGATGCTATTAATGATATGTACAGAGAAACTCAACCACTGACCACATGTGTTATTGTTTGTACAGGTTTCAGAAAACACACAGGAGGCCATGTCCACAACTAATGCACCTGTTGATATGCCAGAGACGGATAGCGAGTTCTAGCTCAGAAACATGTGTCTCTTTTACCTTAAACTGCAAGGACAGCTGCTGATTCCTGCCTCTACTATACAGACTATTGTTGAGGAAATGCTAAATATTCACGAGTTAGGCCAAGCTTACACAATAACTAAAGTAAGTTCTGTATTAAAAACTGATGCAAACCTATCAGATGAAGCCGTCACTAAAGTCTGTGACTGCATTAAAGAGTCAGATTTGTTTTCTTCCTGTCATCAGGGGCCGTTAAGGACAACATACTCCAGAAATCAAACCTTCACAAAACTGTTTAAATACACAGAACCTCAAAAGGTGGCATTAGGTATGGATAAAAACATGACTGAAAAGTGTGCTTACTACATACCAGAAACTCTGAAGAGCTTTTTGCAGTCACATTTATGGAGGGCTGCGCAGTCCCAAAAGTTAAGAGATCCTGAAGCAGGGGTTTTTACTGATTTATATAATGGACAAAATTTCAGATGTCACCAGTTCTTTAACGAAAACCCTGAGAGCCTCAAACTGATTTTGTCCCAAGATTCATTTGAAATTGTGAACCCCCTGGGTTCTGCTAAAAAGACACACAAGGTTCTTGCTGTCTATCTGTCAGTAGCAAATATACCCATCCATTTGCGCTCAAATACTGATAATATGTTTTTGGTCCTGTTGTGCATTGAAAATGACCTCAAGCGTTTTGGAGTAGCCAAAATTTTTTCAGAATTGTTAACAGATCTAAAATCCTTAGAGACAGTTGGAATAAATGTAGATGGTGAAACAGTAAAAGGGGGTCTGTACTGCATTTCTGGGGATAACCTTGGTTCTCATAGCATAGGCGGGTTTACAGAGAACTTCAGCCGCTCTCAATATTTTTGCAGGTACTGTGAAATCACAAGAAGTGAGTTTGAGGCTGATCCGAATGCCTGTGGACCTCCACGCACTCCTGAGACATACAACGCGGCTGTTACTGAACTTCAGACTAATAACACTGAAGACGTCCGCGGAATAAAGGTAAACTCTGTCTTTAACAGCCTTGAGTCTTTCCATGTGTTTCAGCCTGGTCTGCCGCCTTGTTTAGGTCATGACCTCTTTGAGGGAGTTTTGCCATATGATCTAGCACTGTACCTGAAGAACATCATAAAAAGAAAAAAATGGTTCACATACTCACTCTTAAACAGGCGCATTAAACAGTTTAAATACAAAGGATCAAAAGCACTCACAAAGCCATGTGCTGTCAACTGTGAGGGAGCCAGGTTATCCGGGCAAGCCATTCAAAACTGGAACTTCTTGAGATTGCTGCCAGTTTTAATTGGCGACAAAGTGCAAAACCATGAAGATGAAGTGTGGCAGTTAGCTCTCCAGTTAAAAGACATTGTGGATCTTATTTGTGCTCAGAACATTTCCTTGTCCCAGATAGCATATCTTGATATTTTGGTCCAAGAGTATTTGGAGTTGAGGAAGATGTTGTTTCCTGAAATCAAACTCAAACCGAAGCACCACTTTTTACGCCATTATTCAGCACTGTTGTTGAAATTTGGTCCTCTGATAAGGTTATGGACACTTAGGTTTGAAAGTAAACATGGTTATTTTAAAAGATGTGCCAAACACTTAAAAAACTTCAAAAACATTTGTCAAACTTTAGCAGAGCGTCATCAGATGTATCAGGGATATGTTTTAGCAGGACAAGAATGCATTAAACTACTGCAAGTGAAGGACAGCTGTGCATTTTACTCCAACCTTTATAGTGACACTATTAAATGTGCTGTTCAGGAGTTTGCCTTTTCAGAAAGCAATACCACAGTCTCCACAGACATTCAGTACAAGGGCACTACATATAAGAAGGGGCAGTTTGTTGTGTACCGAAATGAGTATGTGGAATTTGGTGAACTTCTTCTCTTCTTGATTCAAAATGACTTGGCTGTGTATGTTTTGATGGATATCCACCAAGGCATCTTCCTGTCAGAATACCATCTGTATTCTGTGATAAAGAACAGTCTTGGGTTACAGTGTATGAACATTAATGACCTGCTTGATTTCTATCCTTTGGTGTCATACATTCTTAATGGAAACAAAGTCATTCCTCTGAAGCACAGTATTGTGGAAAAATAAAGTTGAAGCTAATGCTATACTTCTCACACTGTAAATAGTTCACAATGTTATCTGATTTAAGTTTATTTACTGTATTTTATTTTATTGTTTTCTTTTTAGTGCAAATATGAGTGACACAGAGCGAATGTTCTTAGATGATGCCATCATGGAAGTACTACCAGACCTTCCACCGGCAACCAAAAACATCCTCCAAGAACACTTGCAATCCATTGGAGTTGAGATGTATGATGATCTACATTTCATACAGGAGGCTGATTTAATGACTGCATTAAGACCTATACAAGCCAGAAAACTTCTTTCTGTTTGGAAACAGAAATGTAAGTAAAGATGGTACACAAACAGTCTTTTAATGTATGGATTTGTCATCTGTTCAAAACATGGTATGCACAGTGTAACTCATCACCTTTTTTCTGTTATTTTAAGACCAGACTCCTGAGCCCAGCTCACTGTCATCTATCGATCAGTTTCTCCCCGAAGTTCATCTTCAACCTCCTCCAGTAGTAGCAGCCCAGGACTCGATACACAGTGGGAGAACAGTTTTGAAATTCCATGGAGTAAATTTCCTGAGGAAATGATGCAGTCTTTGGAGAGGGGAAAAAGGCCAGGCTCAAAACTGAGGAGACAGATGGTCCGGATAGTTGTGACTGAGATGTTAGAAAAATACCCTCATGTAGGTAAAAAGCATTCAACTGATGTTGCAAAAAAATGGTAGCAAAATATCCAAAATCTCTAAAAATGTTATAGACGGAGATATTGTTGGGGCAGGCTACCATTCCCTTGTTAAACAGTTACAAAACAGAATTGAAAATGTGAGGCGCGGTTCAACACCTAAAATAAGAAAAAGAAGACATGAGACCGATGACTCGGATCACACAGATGAGATCCCTTTAGAAGAGAGAGCTGAAATGCAGGACATTTATGGGTGCATTAAGTGGAATGTCAAATTTCTGCCCATTGGAGAAACTCAAGAGAGCCAGCAGCAAAAGATGGAAAAACTCAAAGCAATGTACCAACATTCATCTGAGGCCAATCTGGAAGAGATCAAAAATCTAATGAAGTCCACTTTTTACACACAGCGCCAACAAGTCAACCAGGGAAAAATACCTCAGAGAGGAGTGGCCATTTTTGTTTGATGAACTTTGTATGTCTGTCCACTTCAAGGAACTCACTGGGATTGACCTTAAAGAGACATTCACTCGAAATTTGGATTTGAAGGGGAAAAGGCTTCTCAACTACATGACAACAGTTTGTGTCAACAAGAGTAAGAAGTTCCTTCAGACTTATGCTCGGCTTCAGAGGATGCGAGGACAGCAGAGTGGCTGCTCAGATGATGTGAAAGAGATGGTCCTGCTTCTGCTCAGCTACTTTGATGAGAAGGAGGAGTCCTTGTTCTTCTATGTAGAAGATACATGTCTGGCAGAAGAGGTCCAACTGGAGCAAGTGCCTGTGACACCAGCTGTTATTGTCTGTGGTAAGTCTGTTTCATATCTTGTAATTGCAGTTTATAGAATTTGTCATGTGTGTGGTGTTTATTAAAATTAGTGCTGTCATGCGATTAAAAAAATTGAAAGATTAATTAATTATGATCTGTAATTAATTAATCTCATTTTAATCTCACCTAAAAATTGCTGAGAAAAGCCTTCAATTTGAGGTATTTTCATTTAAATTCATTATTACATTATTGTGGCAGATCAAAAGACTGATATAGAACAAAAAAAAGTGACTTTATAAAGTCATTTATTGTTTAACAAATCTCTCCAAATTGGTTGTTGAGCCCAAGTCTCCATGAATAAGAAACTGTTTGCTGTAAAGTAGCAAAGACGAGGAAATCTGAACATAATAACCTTTGTCTACTTAAAGACAATAAAAAGTCCAGTCTTTCTTTAACCATATTAAAAATATTATTGATAGAGAAATGCTTTATATATGAGATCACTGGTTTTAGTCCTGGTTTAGACCTGCTTTAGTCCTACTTTAGTCCTAGTTTAGTCCTGGAATGGATTAATCCTGGTTTTAGTCCTGGTGTTATTTCTGGTTTAGTGCTGGTTTAGTCCTGGTTTAGACCTGGTTTTAGTTCTGGTTTTAGTTCTGGTTTTAGTTCTGGTTTTAGTTCTGGTTTAGTCCTGGTTTAGTCCTGGACTGGATTAGTCCTGGTTTTAGTCTTGGTGTTAGTTCTGGTTTAGAGGTTCACAGGAGGAAGCGCGGTTTACGCCGCGTACGCGAGAAAACACGATCCACACGCGGCTCACGGGAGCACGTCGGTGTCCACACACAGTAACTACGGAAGGAAACGTGGTCCGCGCGTTCTCAGGTTGATGACGATGATGGTGTGTGTGTGTTTGTGTTTGTGTGTGTTTGTGTTTGTGTGTGTTTGTGTGTGTTTGTGTGCGTGTCCCCTCATGTGGCAGGTCACTATAGGACAGTAGTGCAGACATCATGAGCCTATGCAGGTTGTTTTCACCAGTGACATTTAAGTTGTAGGCGATTTTATATTTGTTATTTTCTTTTATATTTCACGTCGGGAGAATAATTTCCAAGACACGAATGTGTTTTTACCTGTGCACTGCTGACTCTGTTCTACTGGCTCTTCGACCTCGTCAATTGTGTGACTGACGCCGCAAACGTTAACATGACGTTTACATCGCTGTTACTGCGCATGTTTTGTGTGGGTTTCCGGCAATGAGTGGGATTACCGAAATAAAAAAATGTATAAATGTGTTTTTTGTGTGTGTGTTGTTGTTGTCCCAACAACACATAAAAACAGGTTTTATAATAAAGCAACTCACATACAGAAACACTAAAGTTAGAGATTAAAAATGAGATTAACGCGATTAAAAAACATAACGCGCTAAATGTGACTGTAATTAATTAATCGCAATTAACGCGATAATTTGACACCCCTAATTAAAATACCCTGTTTAATATTGTATTCATAGGAACATCATGTTTTTCTTCAACGAGGTACATGCTGAGTCTGGATCAGAACCTTATCAACACAAACATCTCCTCCTTCATTTCTGCATTGTGCCTGATGTTTGGGAGCTACTATTGTTTTAACATCCATTATCCATCTGAGCTGGGTTCAACTCTTGAGTTTCTTCAAAGGTGAGAAAATATGGCTTACACATTTCTTAATGCTGAGATTGATACCTGGACTCAGACCCAGACTTTACTCTGGGTCTGACTTCAGTCCTGGGCTGGGACTGCTACTCTGGGACCTAAAATGACAGATTTGTGTTTTAAACATTCATTTTATTCGAAAATATATTTTGTAGTTTATTTATTTTATTCTGATAAATAAAAATGTTTAATATGCAATATTTTATTTTGTAGGTGTTTTTTCTTGATAAACCCGGAAAAAGGAACCAAAGTGGAGAGTAAAAACTCAAAGCGTCGTCTCAGTGTAAACCCTCGAGTCCTCACCCTGATACAAGAACTCTCTGATCACGAGTGGCGGGAAGGATAAACATGAACTGTCTGATGGAGTCTTTGGAATCTCTTTGGACTCTGTGTTCGTTTGAGAAGAGGTACCGGAAGTTATTGCCTTGTTAAATCTACAGTGTGATTTATGTTAATTAAAGCATAATATGTCATTGATTTAACCATCATGCTCTCCTCTCTCTTGGTGCGGGTCAGTCAAACCCAAAAATGTATTTTCTCGCCTGGCGAGAATTTATTTGAAAATACATTTTTGGGTTTGATAGACCCGCCCCAAGAGAGCGGGAAGGAAAAAAAAAACAATTCTTTGGGACAATGTGACCCCCAGGAGAGCATGAGGGTTGTAAATGTTAATTTTAAAGTCATTTTAAGAGTTATGTTTTAGCAAGTAAACACAATTTTAATTTGGTTGTTGTGTGCCTGGCACTTGAAACTTGTTTTAAGGGAAAGCCCAATACTGTAAAATGACTCATTCAATAGATCAATGAGTGTTAATTTAGTTCAGCTGAAAATCAGTCACATGCTTGATATTGTTAAAACAACACCATGAGAATGCATTGTTTGAGTAACTGAAAAAAATTCTGCAATAATGAGGCTATCTTCGAACTTCGATTCAGTGGTTTCTTTGAATGCAATTTTTGTTCTATATGCTGAAAAAAATCAAATTGTTTACAACTTGTTACTATATTGAGACTGTTAAATAAATGTTTTAAGTGATATTTTTCTTGTCATGTATTATTGCATGTTTTGGTAATGATTACAGTAGTAGCAGTAGAATTTATGATCTTGCAGGTTTAACAGGTAATTTTTACAGTTCAACTGTATTATTTAAACATAAAAATACTGCGTTTATGAGTAGATTTTACGTAAAATTTACAGAAAAGCTTAATTTAAAATATAAACTTTTACTGTCGTTTTGCCAGTTTAAACTGTTTTTTGTGAAATATTTCCCTGTTAATTTGACAAGAAATCAGTGCACAAAAAACATGTTATGTAGAAAATACAGGAAAGGATGTATAATAAGCATTTTTTTTCATGTTAAAAATACAGGAAGGTGTCTATTTATTTACAACACGGTTATGCAAAATTAACAACTTTTTTGTGTAGATTTCACTGATTTTAAATGTGATTCAACCGTGATTTCAAAAACTGTCAACTGATTTACATTGTTCTCTGTAAAGTTATTAACTGTATTACTGTATTTTTTACAGGAAAGCTCTGGTAACCCCAGCTGCCAGCGTTTTCCTGTAAAAACGACGGATTTTTTTTTACAGTGTGTGTAATCTAGCATCTTTAATAATATAAAAAAATGAACTTCTACAGACTCTCAGGCAACTATCTCTTGTGTCTAGCCTTTAAATATTTAGTTTTATGTTGTCACTATCTGGGTTTACTTTAGATAGGAATTGTTATCTGGGTTTACTTTAGATAGGAAAACACATTTTCTCTGTCTCAAACTTCAAACTTACATTTTTATTGATATTAATTAACCTGATTTTTTACCATGGTCTGACTGCCAGTAGAAATATAATACAATCCGAAGCTGAACCCAAGATAGCGTATTGTTTTCAGTGGTCTGTGCTCATTGGCGCAAGGGCCCCAAAATAATTTTCTCTTTCACTTATTTTCTACGGGCGAGTTCCTTCCATCCGTGTGGCGTCTGTAATGTGCACGGCGTGGAGCGTTTGGACCAATCAGAGCGAGAGCTGTTAGAGCGGAGTCTTACAAAGCAAACTTTTAGGCGCTTTGAGGATTAAAAAATTAAGTTTATGTTGTGAAATTGGAAAAGAATCCCTATAAAATCCGACCTTTGTGAAAGTTGTGGATGCCCTGTTAGCCGAACACGGGCAATTTTAGTTCCCAAAAAATGTATTGCGCTTCTTTGGGAGAATTCTTTCTGGGCCCAAACTCCCGGGAGCTGCAGTACCTGGAGCGGCCACTAGTCTGTCTCGAGCAGTGACAGAGGGGGAGTGCCTTAGTTTTTATTATAGCCGTGCATTACTTTTGTATAACTACAGGTAGTTCCGGCAACAATAAATCACTGTTCCATATCACTACGCTGTGAGCATCGCCACAGCAATGGGTAAACAAATAAACTGCTGTTAGAAGGGACTAGTTTCAACTAAAACAGAAATAACTGATGCCTTGAACATCCATGCAGAGCTGAAACGTCGTCAGATTTAAAGGTGCAACTGCTTGTCTCCATGGAGATGTGCCTAGAATGTTCCACAGTATGGGCCATAAACTCCATGGAGACTTGAAAGCCAAATTACAGGTTAGAGAATGAATGTTTTTTTTTTTTTAAAGATATTTGAGCAATAAATAAAACCTGTAGTTGAATAAATGGAAGACAGATATGTTTAATCTCATAATGTGGACAATTTAAAGGTGCATTGTGTAACGGTATGGTATTAAACCTTTCTATCTTTATGGAGACCAAACCAGAACAAGTTACAGGTCAGATCTGTGGAGAGGTGACCCTGCTCATAGTCAGAATGCAGTTGTTGTTTTTTTTGGTATTATTATTGTTATTATTATTATTGACTTATTTATTTATTTTATTTGTTTATTCTTCTTCTTATTATTATATTTTTTTTTTTGTATGCGTGTTTAGTTAAGTCTGTCTTATTGTGGATATGCTGGGTATCCAATCCCTTAAATTTGACAAATTATAAAAAAAAAAAAATAAAAAAAAAAAAAGAATGCAGTTTTTCTAGGTATTTTTGACCTATAAAGCTACCTGTAATTGAATAAATGTAAGGTAGAGCTGCTTAATGTCATATACACATATGACATGCACAGTGGGAAGGATTTTCTGAAAAAGTGAGCATCAAACCGCCATGTTTGTTTTCCCAGTAGGATGCGTCTATTGACAAAGCTGATCTTCTCTAGTCTTTTGAACCATATCGCTTTTGTTTCTGATTCTGATATTGTCATATTTTAGTTTTGGGATTCGGACATTGTTAATTGTGTGGTTGTTGGATCCTAATAGCGGAAAACAAGTCGAGAAATTTGTTTGCGAACTCCATAAATGCAAAAGGGAATCAGATGTGTGTGACTGCAAACCTCCGTTCAAACTGTTTCCCTTCCCAACGGAATTGAGAAATAGTGAAAGGCGAATGTGATGGTCAGAACTGATACACGGGAAGGACGAAAAAGGTAACGTTTGGCCTAAATCATCCCGAGTTTGCAGTGAACATTTTGTATGTATGCAGTTTATTTGTGAAAAAAGTTAGAAAATAGACCATTTAATGACAGCGCGTCTTATAATCCAGAGCGCCTAATAGCCCGGAAAATACGGTAATTACAATTTTTCTGTACTTTTTCCACCTCTGCTTAAAATCTGAAAATACATCTTGCTACACTTAAGAAAAACAACAACTTTTTGCACTTAAAATACAAAAGAAATGAAGAAAAACACATTTATTCCATTGGTAGATAATTTTACTTGTCAAGTTGAATCTACTCAAATAAAGTAAAATCTTCTTAATTGAAGTCATTTTAATTGAGCTAGATATTGTTTTTTTGCAGTGCAGCTGTTGAATAAAGAGGGTCAAAGGTCATAAAGTGTCAGCCGCTGTTCGCATGCCGGTGTCCTGACGTCACGAGGCCAAAGCTGAGTCACGGATTGAATAAATAACCTGGAGACGGATCCATCAGACCGCACCGCGAACTGTCTCAATCATCGCCGTGACAACAAAGACTCACAAGGCGCCGAACTGGTCCAGCCTGTCTACTGATTACACGGAGCTTTTTATGACTACAATCTCACCACTTCAACAAGCCTCCTGCATTAAAGCTGCACTGCGGAACATTTCTAGTGGAGGGTGCGCGCCCTGGTTGTGAAATATCCACCGGAATGTTCTTGTTTTGTCTAGAATGTTCTGCAGTTTTGATTAAGCTTATCGATCGTGAGAAAGACGAGCAGAATCCGCGTATCATTCGTTCGTTTTTCAAAATAAAACCAAAAATAAGAAAACGAAAAAGCAACTATTTTCTTCATTATTTGTCTCCAAAACCAAAATGAAGAAAAAAAAAAAAAGGATAATGATTTGTTTTTTCAGTTTCGATTTTGTGTTTAAATGAATAATGGAAAAAAAGGATAAAGGCCGTTTCCCGTTTCTGTGACTTAAACTGCGATGCCGAACTGAACCAGGACTGAACCAGGACTGAAACAGGTCTAAACCAGGACTAAACCAGGACTAAACCAGGACTAAACCAGGTCTAAACCAGGACTGAACCAGGACTAAACCAGGACTGAACCAGGACTGAACCAGGACTAAACCAGGTCTAAATGAGGACTAAATTAGGTCTAAACCAGGACTGAACCAGGACTGAACCAGGTCTAAACCAGGACTGAACCAAGTCTAAACTAGGACTGAACCAGGACTAAACCAGGTCTAAACCAGGTCTAAACGAGGTCTAAATTAGGACTAAACCAGGACTAAACCAAAACTGAACCAGGACTGAACCAAGTCTAAACCAGGTCTAAACCAGGACTGAACCAGGACTGAGCAGGACAAAAACAGGTCTAAACGAGGACTGAACCAGGACTGAACCAGGACTGAACAAAGTCTAAACCAGGTCTAAACCAGGACTGAACCAGGACTGAGCAGGACTAAAACAGGTCTAAACCAGAACTAAACCATCGTGATCAGGACTGAGACCAGAACCAGACCCAAACTGAGACCAGACCGTAACTGAAACCAAGACCAGACCAGGGCTGATACTGGAACCAGGCAGTGACTGAGACTGGGACCAGACCAGGGCCAGACCAGGACTGAGACCTGTTTAGTCCTGGTTCAGGCTGTTATCCGTAGTATTAGTTATAAGTTATATTAGTTGACCTATTTTTGTCTCATACACAGTTACTTGGACAAAAGTGATTAAATAAAGTGTTAAATAAATAATAAATATAATAAAAATACATTTGCATTAGCTTTACACCATCTGTATTTACTTTGTTTAAGAAAATACATTCTTGTTGTGTCTCCGTACACAGGAATTTCTGGCAACAGAAAATCACTGTTCTACATCTCTACACTGTGAGCATCACCATAACAGCGGATAAACAAAGAACTATAAATAGAGGAGGGGTTATCTGAAAGTAAACCAAAAACAACTAATGTTTTGAACATTTAAGGAGAGACAATATGTTATCATATTTAAACTATTTTCAACTTGTGGGAACTTGGTATGAGCTGATTAAACAACAACAAATGCATTAAATCTGCAGAACGCACAGCTACAAGTTGTTTAAAGGTTTGTAAATCTTGATGTCGTAACTTTTTAATTCGTATTCTGATGGATAAAATACACACAATACATTTTAAGTGAGACTGGACTCGTTTGAGAGTTTACGAATATTTATTTTATGCTCAGTTACAGCCAAATATTAATCAGGCTGGCGCCACTTAGTGCCTCCGCTCAATTTCATTTCTCTCCAGTGACTAAGGTCAGGAATTGGAATACACTAAACAGTTTGCAAGAACCCCAGAAGTTGTACACCACACACCGGTGAAGAGCTGTGAAGCCATGACGTCAAACTCAAGCATCTGTCTGGGTCGAGGACT